AATAGTTTTGTTTTTATTATATTGATACTATTTGGACATACCTTGTTGGTCATAGTTGTAGTTTGATTAAACATACATTAACGGTTTTTGATTTGGGTTGTTTTGGTTTTAAACGTAACGTAGGTTGGTGGTTGATTTGAAAATAGATGTTTCAAGTCTTTCATTGCTAATTTCCGTTAAACAATGTTTTAAAATAAAAATAAAAAAAAAAAATGGTGAAAATCACTAACGTTACATAAAACAAAGTGGAAATGGGATTCCTTTTAATCAGAGTCAAGACCTTTTAATCGGAGTTTAAATGGATATGGGCATGAACAAGATTGATAATATTGAGAGTGATGTTGTCAATGCAATAGTTTGGTGGAAACTTTAAAAGTCAATGTACACATCAGTACTTTAACCAGAAACTTGATAATTTTGAGTAAAAGTGCATTTTAGTCTGATAAATTTCAAGTTTAATGGTCTAATTCTAATAGGTTAAAAAAAAATGGTTAGTTAAATCTAAAAGTGAAACTTTCGTATGCTTTTATGTGAATAACCTTATTAATTGTTTTTTTAAACCTTGGTTGCAACACGTATGCTTAAAACCTTGATAAAATTAGTGAGATCCCAAGTTTGAGTTTCATTGTTGATGATGTGTTCGCATTGGACCATGTTCGTCTTTCCAGTTTGGATGTATGTGGAATAATATAATCGTGTCATGGACCTTATAGACTTATATTTTAGCCCTTTCACTTAAACCTTTTTTCACAGGTTAAACCTTTGATTTCATTGTCATTTTATTTACGAATAAAATAGTATTTCATGTTTAAGAAAAATTAAGTCAAACATTGTGGGCAGAACAATCAAAGACGAACCCAGGATATATAAAAAATGACCACCCACTACAGAAATTAGGCATCCAATAGACATGACGGAGCACGGCGGAAGACGGTGGCGATTGGTGCTGATATCCAGTCCACTTCAAGGCCACATGACCCCCATGCTTCAGCTTGGCTCATACCTTCATTCCAGAGGGTTCCCCATAACCATTGTTCACTCTGAGTTAAATCGTCCAGATCCTTCTAATCACCCCGACTTCGTCTTCTTCCCTCTGCCGAATAACTTATCCGGCACAAGCGTCTCTTCCGGCGTCATTCAGTTCTTGCAAGCTCTCAATGATAACTGCAGACCCCATCTCGAGAAACACCTGATTCAGATCATAAATACACAAAAGGAAACATCTGAAAAGGAATCAATCGTTATCATCTATGATAACCTCATGTTTTTTGCCGGATCCCTCGCAGCCGATCTGCGTCTACCCTCCATCATCTTGCGCAGCAGCTGTGCAGCCTTCCTTCCTGCTTACAGGATCATCCCGCAGCTTCATCAGGAAGGTCGATTTCCTATTCAAGGTAACTGCAAATCCAAAACCCATAGAAATAAACTATAGATCTAAAACTAAATATTATAAAATTACGGATTATAGATAGTTAGATACTAATACTCTGTTTTCAAGATTCTTTGTTACAGGAAATAATTCCAGAACTCCATCCATTCAGATACAAAGATCTACCTTTTAATGGCCTCCCAATCCAACAAATCCTTGAAATGGTAACCATGATAACCCCCAAAACACCCCCTGTTGCTTTCATTTGGAACACCATCGAGTTTCTTGAACAATGGGCACTGACCCAGATCCACCATCAATACCAAGTTCCTATTTTTACCATTGGCCCATTACACAAAACATCTCCAACCCTTTCCACTAGCTTTCTTGAAGAAGATACGAGTTGCATATCATGGCTAGATAAACAATCACCCAAATCAGTAATATACGTAAGCTTAGGAAGCTTAGCAACCATAGATGCGAAAGTATCAACTGAAATGGCATGGGGTCTAGCTAGCACTAACCAGCCGTTCCTATGGGTGGTTCGACCGGGTTCGGTTCATGGATGTGATTGGATCGAGTTTTTGCCGGAGGATTTGGTAAGCGAGATGAAGGTGAGAGGTATGATCGTAAAGTGGGCACCCCAGAAGGACGTATTGGCACATTCTGCAGTTGGAGGATTTTGGAGCCATTGTGGTTGGAATTCGACCTTGGAAAGTGTATGTGAAGGGGTTCCGATGCTGTGTCAGCCGTTTAATGTGGATCAAATGTTGAATGCTAGGTATTTGAGTTATGTGTGGAAGATGGGTTTGGAAATGGTTGTGGAGAGAGGAGAGATCGAGAGTGCAATTAGAAGAGTTTTGGTGAGCAAAGAAGGAGAAGAGATGAGGCGTAGGGCTATGGAGATCGAAGACCAGGTTAGAATTGCAATTAGCCATGGCGGTTCTTCGCGGAACTCTATGAATGATTTGGTAGACTTCATTTTGTCATTGTAATCAATGTTTAGAAAGTATCAACGTATCATAGAAAGATGCTAGAAATGGTCATTTTTTGTGAGGTTTTTATTATGGTTATATACAAAACAGATTTTTATTATGGTTATATATAAAACTAGACATGAAGATGGTGAGAAGTGTGATTTAATTTAATTTAAATTAAATTTGAATGATATGTTAAATTTATATATTTGTCATCATTTTAAATTATAGAAAGAAAATTAAAAACTAAAAATATGATGATATTTAATTTCATTTTATTTTATTGGGCTATGGGGGAGTCATCCCACAAAGAGGAGTCAGGGCGGAGGTGGTCTCGGCAAAATTTGGTCTCTTCTCTATGTGTTTCTGACTTTCGGCAAAGAGGGAAAAAAGGGTTTGGTTGATGTGGAGTTTGGTGAGTTCGACATTACTCCCTCGCTCTTATTTAAAACTTTATATGTTATTAATTTTATGTTTTTCTGTTGCATTTAAAAAAAACAACTAGTATTTTATATTTATAATTATCATAAAAACTACTATGTTAAAAAAACAACTAGTATTTTATATCAAACTAGTTTATCAATAAGATAAAATATAAGCTATTATAAACTACTTTTATGATTTTAAGAAACGTATAAATTAAAATAAACTAACTTATAGGCTAAATTATTTCTACGAAACTCGGTTTTGTATTTTTCTTAATTTTAAATTATTCATATTTTCGTGATTTCAAGTTTATTCTATTAATTTCAAGTTTTTTCTATTAATTTACATGCAAAATGATGTTAGAATCTCTTTTATTCTATATTTCTATATAGTAGATCTATGGACCGTAAATAATAATTTTTTTGGTTGTCCTTAGCACAAAAACTCTTAAATTTGTCAAAAATTGATGGTTTTATCCCAAACAAGTTTGGAGTTTTAATGGTACAAAATGATATTAGGATATGTAAAATTTGAGGCCCGTGCTAAGCACGGTCCGAGAGTGGCTATTGGGTATTTAGAAAGATTAAAGTATATTGGAATGAAGTATTTTGCAATTTTTAATAAGCAATTTTTATTGGATGTACATTGCAATTATGGGTAACAAAATGAAATTACATTCATGTGACCTTTAAAAATAAAAACATTGAACTGGTAAAGCTATTTTAAAATGTCAACAAAACAAAAACATCGAAGTAAGATGGTAAATGATAAATTATGTTTTGTATTGATATTAAATCTCAATTGCTGAAGAATAGAGGGATGTAAGAGATCATTACTACAAGTGCGTTTAATATTCGTGTATGTATAAATTTTTGGTTGTTGCGCGAAGTTTCCACATATTTGTATTCACACATAGAGAAAGATATCTAATATTTTATAAGAATGGTAAAAAGTCTTCTTCTAGAAATTTGAGTCTATACAATGTAGTAGTCGGTGAAAGCCTTGACCATGAACATTTAAGGGTAATTTGGGTATTTGATTCATAGTTGTTGAACAAATTGTGTAATAACAAAAAATTGGAATTTTAATGATATAAATGGGTAGATTTTCAACATAAAAGACCTAAATTAGCAAAAGAATATGAAAGTACAATGCTATATTATATAACCAAACGAAAGTACATTCCTATTCCCATGAAACTTGAGGTAATCAATATAACATGTAACTTGACTATGATAATCCATATCATAGCAAACACAAAATATGCAATGTAATTGTTAAAAATTCATATTTTATTGGAACAAAAGAATTTCAATTATAAAACAGTGACATGATAATCCATATCATATCTTATGGTCAAGAACACGATTAAGAGTACAACATTGGGAAAATAGATATGTGAAAACCTGTAATTTCAAAAAAGATAACAACAAATTCTCCTATATTTGGTGGGTTGAATGGATAAATCAATATTTAGATTAAATAGCATCATGTTAAGCTTAGGAATCAAAAACATATATTTTTTTAATATCGACTTGAGCAAATTTTTATTACTCATTGAATATTATTTGAATAGTAAGACTGAATATAAGTATGATGCTATAAAATGTTAAATAAATGGCAAGATTGATGCCATCTATGGTTTTTTTATATGTTCTCAGAGTGTTAAAAGTAAAAAAATTTCAAAGCTGTAAAAGTAAAAGATATTCATAATGCACAATTTTGAGCTTGAAATAACATGTGTAAATGTATAGCAAATTAGTGTACACTAAATGGAGTGGGTGTATTATATTCATCATTTTTGATTAATTAACATAGGTATTATCAATAGTTATTGATATATTTATGAATTTATGTATATATATATATATATATATATATTCGACATCATAAATATTTGTTGTAGAAAAAGGAAATGTGTGATTATGCTATTAGAATGTCGAAATTAACATGAAGATGACCAACATAATTATTATAGAGTAAAGAAGTTAGTTGAGGCATACATTAATTAATGTTCTAATAATGTAATAATGTTTGATATAATAACATAAAAACATACCAATACCATGGCGAAATAACATAATATTATTTTTATTTTGGTAAGTGATAATGATCATCAATCACTTGGTAGCTTGTGTAAAATAGTCTGTGACAAGCAAATGAAAGCAGTGAGTGTACATAAATAAACCATGAAACTAATTAATGGAATGTTGGTTGTGGTTCCATACCTATTTCATTCTTTTAGTTGGTCTCGATGTGCCTGCGGATGATGATTCTATCACTTTTGTTTTCCCTACATCTGGTTGGGGTCGCTTTTGGGTTTGCTTAGGTGAGGCTGGTTTTGTTGTTGACAAGTTTTCAGATTTAGTTGATGGAATGAGTATTTGTTGCTCTTTGGTGTAATGTTCTTGGACTTTATGCAACTTGACAATGACAAATCTATTGATTTGTTGTTGTTGGTTCCATGTTAGATATGATCGTACAAATGTGACAACCGATAATCCTTGAACTGATGATGCGATAACATCATGTACATTTTTTTCCTGCTTATGTAATTTATTAAATGTAAAGAAAATATTTGAATAATTAAAAAATCACAGTATTGAAAATAGGAAACCTTACACTTTTTGCTACATCTTTGATTTCACTGGGGTTCAATGGAATTAACTTTTCAATTTCAGGTGATGATATGCTTGCTGCAATTGTTCCAGTTCCATCATTGATTTCAATTATTGCCCTTGAGCTGTTCAAAGAATCATTTTGTTTAAAGAAAGTTGGTTTAAAATTTAATTAATAGAAATATGCATACATGATTTGTACTTCTGATTTCTCTTTACAAAGAGGGCATTTGATGTTCCAGTTTATGTCTGCTTGAATTGGTTTTAAACACTTAGCACATATTGTTTGTGTGAAACTTCTATCTTGTTGAGGTAGACTGAGTGTTCCTTTTATCCAAGTTGGGGTACCCTGGTGTCAAATAATCGGTAAGTCAATAATGGTTTAGAATATATAGAATAATTGATGAACTTTTGTTATAATTACTTACATTTTTCATCTTTATAATTGCCCTGCCTATTGGAAGTATGTCTTTGTTTTAGGAGGTGGCAACAGAATCTCAGTGTCCTTGTATGTTTCATTCCGAAGGAGTACTTTAATTTCTGCTTTGTTAATTGTGTACCTATGCATTACAAAAAATTAATTAAAAATAATTATGGGTAATTATTATCGTGAATATACCAGTTTGTAGCTTTAGATCATCTTTCACTGGTGGATTTATTAGAATAGCAGATCTGGGGCTTGTAGTGATTGATTGTCCTGATTTGCATGTAGTTAATCATTAGTGTAAATGTTTTGGCATATATGTAGTTGCATTATGTGTGAAAGGGATTCGAATATACCATAGAATGTTGTCATTTTTACCCTCATTGCAAATACCAAAGGCCCAGTATTGGTAATTTTATCCAAGGCATTTCCCTCAATTTCATCGATGGGATTCCATAATGTTAGAATTAGAAGTTTTTTCCTGATAAAAATTGTCAATTTTAGAATAATAACAATAAATAAATTTTAAAAAAATGATTTCATATTGTTAATCTAAGAAGTTAATCTTGCACATACTCCTCATTGACAATGATTACGTCCCTTTTTGAAGTTGTTTCTGATCCCTTTTTGACATGCTGAATTGGCAAGCATTTAATTACAACACCTCTTACATCTGCATTTAGAAAGGTATAGATGTATATGTGACAATGTGGTTATAAATGTAAATAAATGGATGGGCAAAGTGTATGTCTTACTTAGATAATTTTCTTCATCTGCATACTTGTATAGTTCACTAAATGGGGTAAAGTGAAATTGGCATGTGAGGGGTGGTGGGGTTTGTTCTTCGATGGGTTCAATGAGTGTTTGTCTGCTTAGTGTCCAAGAAAATTCATATGAATCAAGTTGAAAACGTGGTTCCGTGAGTCTCAAATTGCATTGGAAATCTGATAGCGATGGTATGGTGTGAATGTATTTTCAAAAAAGTCAAGGTCATTACTATAGACTAAGGCCGCCACTCTTGTCCCCTGATGTAACATACATGATTCGAATTAACATACAAATTGAAAATATAATGCATGTAATGTTGGTATACCTGTGTGTCTGCAAACATGAGCCTCCTAAATTCTTTTTTTGGTACTAAGTTGTCTATGACCACATTCTATAACTTGAATTTCGACGGTCCAACTTTTCTTCATGTTTGGAGTAATGTCTACTATGTTGTAGTAGTCTCTTGTCATTTTTTGGTTTTCTGTTATGGGTAAATAATTATATTCAATATAGAGTTCAATTCAATAATTAATTTGTATATATCCTTGGTGTAGCAAACATTGTTGTTAATGTATGAACCGGTATCAATTAATATTAATATAAAAAAAATATTTACTAATAAATATTGTTTATTTCTTTCATTATTTGTAATACATAAGCTTGACGATAATTGGTTGAATTAATGTTGAAGTATACATATTAGGGCTAAACCCATACGAATGATGTTGTACGTAATGGAACATGTGTCTGATTTCAAAATAAAATACGCATTCAAATAATTTTGCTAATTGGTAGTTAAAGTTTCTTCCCTGTGAGTATATGAAAATTAGTAGGCAGTCACAACAAACGAAAGCCACATACCTGTTTCTGAAGCGTCTTATGAATCGCAATTTGATCTACGTTTCTGAAACATATGTGCCACTGTAATGCTATAGTGCAATATATGGTGAAACCGTTATAAACGTTTAATATAGTGTAGGGCAGTTACAATGAAGTTCAAAGAACCGCGGTTATAGCGCTTATGCGGAAGGCAACATCATTGACGTCTCCTGACAATTCATGTTGAGTATTTTAATGGGGCTGGTTACGTATAATTATATGTATTATCAGTTAATATTGTAACTTGATTGGATTATATAAATCATATTCGTGTGTTTACTTTTCAAGTACTTATCCATGCCATTTTTTTTTAATTAGTTAGATTAAATCAACTGTTATGAGATGTGGCCACATAGATTCGTCATTATTATTTATGAATTTTAAAAAATGCAGTGTTTAATTTAAATCTATATTTGAATATTTTTTTAATTATTGGTTTGATTCAAAGATAAACAAGGTTCATATCATTTATTTTATTGAGGCTATTCAATGTTGTTGAATTTATTGATGAGCAAAGTAACTTACCTGGCTGAAACTGGCCTGAACCGAACTTTTTTGGGAACCAAAGTTGGATAAAATTAAGAACTGAACCGTGTGCAGGTTCTTTTGGTTCTGGTTCTACTGTGCTTGGTTCCTACTAATTCTTATCGTGTATTCAATGTTGGAATTGGTTATCGTGAAATAGCAAAATAAAGTCCAATTTTGTTGGTTTATCTGATTTTGTTGATTCCCATTAATTCTGGTTTTTACTGGTTGCAAAAATCCTTAAGAATATCATACACCTTGCACAATCGGTTCAATATTGTTCGGGACCGGTTTCAGCACTGGTTTCCGGACGGTGTCCTAGTCCAAATGTTCATCCCTAGTTGAATTTGATTTTGTTAGTGTTTGTATAAAAATTTTGTTTCAAATTTTGGCCAATAGCTATCAATTCATGGGCAATAAGATCATATTTGAAATGATAGACATAAATGTAAACACAAATTGTTATATAAAATACATATGCTGGTTGTAAAGTTTACATCGTAAACAAACAGGAAATTTTGCTTGGATGTCTGTAGTTGATCAATTCACACCACCTGTCTTTTCATTAACCTTAACTATTTTTCACGTGAAGTGTGTTTTTTATGACATGTGATTCTCACTTCTGAAGGAATTATTTTCTTTCCTTCATCATTCTGAATCATGTTCCTACAATATATTATGAATACATTAGAATTGACATATTTGTAATCATTATAAAACTTTTCATTTGTAAATAGAACTTATCATTTATCATTGTAGCCATATGTATATTACCTGTTTCTGACCCGCTTTTATTTCTGCCTGTAGTGCTTTTTAATATTTGCACTCTGGGAACCCTTACCAATGCATGGGCCTCTGCTCATAATCATATAAAAAGTGTTCAATTTTTATTTTGAATTAAATATATAAAATTTTGATTTGTGTTAATAGCTTTTTCATTTGAACGAAATTTATAATTAAAAATATAAAATGTATGTGAAATATAACTAAAATCTGAACAAACTATTTAAAGACTTATACATTCCCATCATAATCTGATTGGCAACTTATGATGAAATGCAGACATTTCCAAATTGGTTAAACCACTTATTATTGTATATAGTGTGGTGTAAAATGTTGATGTTCTTTAGGTATCTAAAATTAACGAGAAAAAAAAATAAAATAGATGAGTTACACTTATGTAAAATCCTGAAAAAAGTGACCAGTATTAAGCAAATTAAGTTAAAAATGTGTTACCAATAGGAGATTGACAGGCAATGCAAGCGACCTTCTTCAGTTGACACCCAAGCCACATTATCTCACATGCTAACATAATATTTGAAAAAGACATGTTGAACATCATGTAAATATTATACATTTATATCATACTTACTTTGTTATCCATTTCTTAGTTTCAAAGAAAACATGAAATTATGATTACCTAATTTAGTCTGTTGTTTGCAACATGTGTTTTCTTTGTAGATATACCTTTAGTTGTATTTGGAACATTGTAATACTTCTTGATATACAATATTTTTTGTTTTTTTGCCGTGTGGAGTATTTTGTGATTTTTTTATCACCACTTTAACACTTTCAATTCTTCTAGCACGGGACAGGGCAACGTATAGTTGTCCATGTGAAAATATAGGTTCTTTGAGGTATATGCCCACAATGTCCAGTGTTTGTCCTTGTGCTTTATTTATAGTCATTGCAAAGCATAGTTTGACCGGAAATTGTGTTCTTTTGAATGGCACTGTGTAGCCTTCTCCTGTTGCTGGTTGTAATGGAATTCTATGAATAAACACCTCTTTCCCAGCATAATCACCAAAAGCTATCTCTGCCCGGATAACATTTCTATTAAAGTTCTTGCAAAAGAGTCTTGTACCATTACACAATCCTTCTATAGGATTCATGTTTCTTAGTAATATAATAGGTGCATTTTTCTTTAAAATTAGTCTATGTGGTGGCATTCCATTCGGTGTTAAAGAATGCAAAAGGTCCTCATAATGACCTTGGTCGTTTGGATCAAGGGTTTCATCAAAACTAACATACTCTTTCACCTCACCTTGGAATTTTTGTATTAAGATTTCATTGATCTGATCAACAAAAGTATTTTTCGTTGTCAAGATAGCTCGGTTCATTGATGAAGGTATAGTTGTGTAATGTTGAGAAATATTTGGGTAAACATATTCAATAAGAGTATGTAATCCTTCTGATTCTTCACTTTCTTCTATAACAATTTGTTTTGGAAGAGTAACATCATCCTCATCTAAATTTTCATTACCATCACCTAATCGTAGAAGAAAGTCTGTAAAAATTGGATCTAGTAATGCCCTCATGTTTTCATCTAATTGTAGAAGATGAAATTTTTGCCACAAGTAAGAGTTAGTCAAACAAGCAGCAATTGTATCATGTTTGCTTCCATTGGGAACAACTGGCAATGTCTGTCTAAAATCACCACCAAGTACAATTACTTTTCCACCAAAAAGTTCATCCTTTTCCATAAGATCACGCAAAAGATCATCTAGTGCCTCTATTGCTGAACGTTTAGCCATTGGGGCTTCATCCCATATAATTAATTTACAACTTTTAATCAATATACCCAGTTCAGATTGTT